GACGGAGCGGGATGCCTCCAACTGGTCCACGGAGCGGCTGAAAACTCTCCTCCTGCCCGTCAGGGTGGAGGGTGAGGAAGGGGCTTGTGAGGTGACAGAAGTGAGCAAACTGGATGGAGAGGCCTCCATTAACAACCGCAAAGGGAAACTTATCTTCTTCTATGAGTGGGCTATCAAGCTGGCATGGACTGGTGAGCAATGTTCCCCCCTCCTGTTTCAAAGGCAGATTCAAGTATAAGATTAAGAATAAGGATACTTGTCTTATTTGGGAAATAATAATAAAGGGAAGGATCGTATTGTGGTACAATACAAGTTTGCTTTTACAACAACTGGAGTAGGAAACGTTGATCTGAACAACATAATTGTAATTGCAGGCACCTCGAAGACAGGAGTGAAATACAAAGGTTATGTGGAGATTCCTAATCTCTCAGATGAAAATGACATCGACGAAGTTGAGGTAAGCACAGCTAAAGGCTAATACTGTTGGCTGTATGGCTATTCTAACAGGATCCTCACGTTAATATTTCCTTCCATGTTATCTTTTTTTAGAACATTTGCTTAGAACTTTTTTAGCGTTAGAGACTGCTTAATGTAATAGAATCATAGAATGATTTGGGTTGGAAGAGACCTTAAAGATCATCTAGTTCCAATCCCCGTGCAATAGGCAGGGACACCTTCCACTAGATCAAGTTGCTCAAAGCCCCATCCAACCTGGCCTTGAACATTTCCAGGGATGGGGCATCGACAGCTACTCTAGGCAACCTGTTTCAGTGTCTCACCGCCCTCACGGTAAAGAATTTCTTCCTTATATCTAAATCTACTCTCTTTCAATTTAAAACCATTACCCCTCATCCTGTCACTATACTCTCTGATAAAGAATCCGTCCCCATCATGTCATATCTTTATCAAATTAATTCCTGTCTTCTAGATATAAGGGCTCTGTAGCACATGAAAGTATTTAGTTAGGTACGTGTGTACGTTACTGTAGGCTGAAAGAGATGAAGTGAAAGATTAATAAAACCACGCTGCTGCTTGTGAAAGTTTAGCTAAAGTCTAATGGTGATATTGAATTGAGTAATAAAAGGACTGTGCGAGTATGGCTTTGTTAATCAGCACTTGTCCTTCTTGTTTAGATCCATGTCAGCCTTGCTAAAGACGAGCCTGACACTAACTTGAAGACCCTGATGAAGCAAGAGGGTGCAAAAAAAATTAGAGATGCAATGAAAACGTACATCAGCACTCTCAAAACAGGTATGAAACTGAAAGGGAGAAGTGTTATGGGAACCTGTATGGACTAATGCTAAAGAAGGGATGGGGTTAACGAGAGGAGTGAATATTAGTTCCTCACCCCATCTCAACAGGAAGGTGTTAGAGCAACAACAGTAACTTTCCTGTCTCTTTTGAAAATGATTGGTATTTGGCAAGAAGCACTTCTGTGTCTAGGCACCGTAGCACAGCCCAGAAATACTGGTTTTGATGATAATGCAAAAATAAAGAGCATTTTTGGATTTATGTTTTAAAACTGAGAATGTCTTTCACACGCTGAAGCTCAGCTGTAGAGAAAATAAAGCCAGTAAAATGTGTTTACTTCCCCAGTGACAGAGTATCAGCCACTGCATGTGGCACAATCTGGCCTTTAGTTTGCTCACTCCCTTGGAAGGTGATATCTTCTCTCTAGTTTGTTGTTTTTTCTCTTTTGCCACACTAGTAAAGGCATCTAGCGTTATTTGAATTTGAGAATATCTGACAACTGGAAATTGCTCTGCAGGTTTTGTTGGTCTTATTGAATGAGCTGTCTCACCATCTGGATGAAAATTATTTTTTTAGAAGATAAACCTGATTCCAGCAGTTGGAGTTAAATCAATGTGCTTTGGTTGAGTTCAGCTTTGCTCTCTAGTACAGGCTGGGAAAGCTGCAGTTGCTTGTTATATCCATTTACCTGTATTACACTACACGTGCTAGATATTCAAGTTTTGCTGAGTACAAACCACCTCTGGTTGCTGTTCTTCCAGGATCAAATTTCTGTACCCTTGGGTTTTTTCAGGTGTTTTGTTGTTCAGGGTGAGAGATGCAGTCACTCAGTGGAAGATGAGAATGTTATTCAGGAAGAACTATATGATCTTGTGGGCTGGAATAAATAAGAATAGGTGGGAATTAAGTGTTGTGGGGTAGAAGATTATACACATATAATAAAATTCTGCTATATAATGGAAATTCGCCAGTTCGAACAGATGAAGAGGAAGGAGAAAGAGCTAACTTCTATAATTGTTGAAGGTAGAAGTGATAAAACTGGAGAAAAAGCAAATATGATGCTGAAAGAGGCTGAAGTTTCTGGTGGAGTTATAAAAGGGCTAGTGCTGCTGGACAGGGCACTGGCGAGACCTCCCCTGGGCTTCTGTGTGTAGTCCTGGCATCTGGTGTCAAAAAAGGTAAATTGAAGATGGAGTTAGAAGTAGCTTTATTCTGTACTACATTGATATGAGAAATGGAGAGCCAGTCTGAAAAGAAATGGAAAGGCTTGGTTTGGTTTGTCTAGATCAGCAAGATAAAAGTATTTGAGATGTGATTGCTATTTATATTGGAGAGTGAGAGGAAAAAAGCTACGTAAGTGTAAGGCTAACATGAATATGAGAGCAACGTGTGGAAGATAGTGATCAGTATGTCCAGGCTAGGAGGCGGAGGTAAGTTCCTAACTGTTAGTGTAGGCAGGTTCTGATACGGCCTGCAGTTGAGAGTAATGAGGGCAAGAAGAATTAATTGCTTGTAAAAAGAGTTCCGTTTACCTTTTTTTTTTTTTTGAACTGTTTCAAGTTGTGGGTGCTATCAAGAGCAGGGGAGAAACCAGGAAGCCCTTTTGATTGTGTATTTCAAAGAACAGTTAAAAGGTTTACTTGATCTTTTATTAGTTTCATGGGTGCGTTCCTGTTTTTCCAGAATTCACCCAGGGCATGATTTTGCCTACAGTGAATGGTGAACACATGGAAACAACACCTCAGGTGGCTCCTAAAGCAGAAGACCGCAAGGTAAACGAAACTCTGCAAACATGCTTTTGGATCTGTGAAGAAAGGTACACAGTATTAGATCCCAGGGCTTACAGGAGCAACTTATGCTATTTATAAGATAGAGATATATATGTAGCGAGAAATATATTCCGGAATTGGCAATCTGTGGTGTAGGCCTGACTGTTTCAATTTGCAGCACATGATATTTTTTAATTCAGGTGATAAATATGCTTTTTACTCTTAAATATGGTTGTACCTAATTACATCTTTACCAAAGGCCTGTGTTTTTTCTCTTGGATATGTGAACCGCTTGTTGAGTATTTTGTGAAAAAAGTATGTGTGTGTTTGCTTTGCTTGTTGTTTTGTTAGATGGCCGCTAGCAGCGGTACTGCCACATCGCAGTCCAAATCCATAGGAGTCAAGATCCCTACATGTAAGATCAGCTTGAAGGACACCTTCTTAACATCTCCTGAGGAGCTCTACCGGGTATTCGTTACTCAGGAGGTAATGCTAGGCTTGTTCTGAGAACTGTTCTTTGCACGTAGGAGGTTGTTCCTAAGAAGCCTTTTAAGGTATTCTGTAGGACACTCACAATCCATGAGAATGGAATAAGAAAGCTGGTCTGCAGAATAGTTGCTTAAAGCTCGTGTGTGCGTCTTTTCACACAGCTGACAGGAGAGGATTAATGCCAGCCAGAAGCCAGTTCCAGACTGCTGTCAGCGCCTGTCTGTAGGTGTATCCCTTACTGCCTGTGGTCAGATCTCTTGGGATTTACAGTTGTGTGGTTTTTGGTTTTGTTTTGTTTTTTCCTTTTAAGGTTAGGTGGTATCAAAGCATACTTTGGGAATAGCTTCCCCTCTCCTGCACACTATTATATAGATAAAGAGAGAGAGAACAGCATTGTATCATTATTTAAACACAGTCTTAGTCTTTTGTTCCTCCTTTTTTTTGTGTTTTTTTATAAAAAAACCCCACGACCTTTTCTTAGAAGTAGATTTCATTAAGGAATTGACAGAGTAAATCAAAGAACACTGCACAGAACAGGAAAGCTAGGGGTTCTTGGCAAGCAAAATGCTTCTGTAGTGGCTATAACCTTGCTTTTGTGGCCAGGGCAGTGTTTTTTCTTGATGAAGAACTTATGCTATTGACTTACCTCCTCTTCTAGGACTTTGATAGCTGGGCGAAGGCGTTGGGCAACAAGTTACAAGCAGATAATGTCAAGTAATAGAGGTCTTCTCCTGAATTCTTTTCAGATGGTCCAAGCTTTCACTCATGCACAAGCTACCTTGGAGGCTGATAAAGGAGGCAAGTTTCAGCTGCTGGATGGCAGTGTCACAGGAGAGTTTGTTGACCTAGTAAGTACTAACCAGTGCAGGTGTATCTTGCTCAGGCACAGCCTTTTTATATTTTTGAGGTATCAGTTCTGTACCAATGCTTCAGTTAGCTAATTGTGGAGTTCTACCTGATGCCCAGTAGTTATCTATAATCACTGTGGCTATTGAAATACTCCTTATAGTATGGATTAATGTTTGGGGCTTCAGCCTGGGGAGAAGATCTAGCTTCCTGTCGTGCATCTGCCCTGTCTTGGTGTGATTATACTAATTTGTTAAGGGTTGGAGGGGTGTTAAAAATAGTAACTGATCTTTCTCCTCTTTAGCCCTCCTGCCACTAAAGTCTTCTGGACAGGGACACTGTCTCAGTGTTTGGGGCTGTACTATGGCCTACATTCCTAGAAGAGGACTGGAAAGAAAAGAACATTTAAAATCTCTTTCCTTCTGTGTGCATGTGTTTCTCAAGGGGTCTCTAACCCTTCAGATCACCACAGTTCTAGTTGTTTTCTGTTAGACTGCAGGATTTACAAAAAATTACTACTCAGTCTTTCTCTGTCTTTTCAAGGTCCCTGAGAAGCAACTTGTTATGAAATGGAGATTTAAATCTTGGCCAGCTGGTAAGTAGTACAAAAATGGACTATGCTATTTCAGCCCTTGCCTGTGTTAGAAGAATTTCAGCCTGGTTTGCCACACCGCACTCTGGCTGGTGATGGGGGAGCACGTGGTGTTCTGGGACCTGTACCATCCTTATCCCAGCTTCGTATCCCGCACGATGAGCTCAGAATCTTCAGCCACCACTTAGAGCAGCAGCCAGGGATTAGGAATGATGGAAGTCGCAGCTTGCTCAGCTGTGGCTGCAAGTGCTTCGAACCCCATGAAGAGGGAGCCCTCTCCTCCCTCTGCTTCTGAGGAAGGCCTGCAGCTGTCATAAATAGATCCTCTGGGCAGGATCCTGAAGAGTCTTTTAAGTGGTGCCGTGTGAGAGCAGGAGCAGAGCAGCTCCTTGGGGCAGCATATACTATACTACACTCTGTTGATGGATTTGCTTTGGTTCCTCTAGGGCACTTTGCAACAATTACCTTGAACTTCACTGACAAAGGCGGTGAGACGGAAGTGTGCTTGGAAGGCAAGGGCATTCCTAACAAAGCAAGGCTGGCAGCGCTACTACTTCGAGGGCATTAAACAGACATTTGGCTATGGTGCCCGCTTGTTTTAATACTGGTTGCTGGGAGGGCTTTGCCTGAAGACTCTGCCACGTGGACTGATAAATTTCTCACCTGTCCCTTTCTAATCTTGGCTCTGCTGCTGAGTAAAGTGGGATGACAGGTGATGAGGAAGGCCACTGAGCAGCACCACTTTCAGTCCCTCACTACTTTGTGCATGTCTCGTGCTGCAGGGGATTCTCTTACATGTACATACTTCTATTGCTAAATAAACCTAACTTAAAAAAACACCGTGGAACTCGTGTGCTCAGATTGGCTTGAGTTCAAAGAGTTGGTCGATAGGCTGAGGGAGGGATCTGTCTGGAAAAACAGGGATCAATGAGGAGTGCTGATCCCAGTGTGATTTACTCCTCACTTCTGGGGGAATGGAGAGCATGAGCTTGATGCAGTTTTTAGTTTGAGCAGCTGCTCGTTTTCTCTCTGCTTTTGATCTGCCGCTAGTAAATGTTTCAAACCCTTCCCATTTCTGAAGGGATCTAAGACTCTGTTCAAGCTATTCCTCTTCTCCCTTGCACATCCCCTTCTTCAACACAGTCCTTTCTTACACTTACACTAGCCTACTTTACAAGAATGCTGGTCGTTTAGGCACCCGATGTCCAAGATAATCAGCAAACTGCTGCTAGGGAAACTACCACCTACAAAACGGTTCTAACAGGTTGTGGGTCCCAGGGTTAGCTACCTCCAAGAGCTTCAGGCCAAGGCAAACTGTAGACTCTCAATGGGGGTGGGATTTATTCCTGTAAAGTAAACAAGGTGCAGTACTTTTGGCTGACCTCACTTCAGCTGTTGCCTTGACTGGTGAAGAAGGGAAAACCACTTGCTTTTTCTCTTGTGCTAGTACCATTAGTTCCCAGAGATGTCTTCTAAAGCAATAAACTTGTTTATAGGATAGGAGGGAAATCTAGTTCTGGTCAGAAGTGTCAATCTGTTTAACCTCAAGGGTGACTGCAGTGCTCAGTTTTCCCTTTGAGGCATGAGCTCTTCTTGCGTACTTTTGTTTTCTGCAGCACCACTAGTAAGCTAGAATTAAGTAATGTTACTGAGTGAGAATTAACTATTTTGAGGACTTTTTTAAGTCTGAATGGCATGTTGTAGCCATCCCCTTCAGTAGAGGAGACAGGAAAAATAACTTTGCCTGTTCAAAAAAACCCAAATGTAATTGTTTTTCTTGCCTTTTAAGCTATAGAGAGCATTTCTAGCCTTTTCTGCTCATTATTCTAAAGTGATTATTCATGATAGAGTGTGTATGGACATCAAGAGTGTGGTAAGAAAGTTCTATATTGTGTGCTTATCCTCTGCTGCTGTTGTATAAAGACAGGGTACCTGTAGACATGGCAGAGCTTCCCTCTATCCCACAGGACTTTCTACCTTAAAGCATCATCATCATTTTAGGCTGCCCAGGGAGGTGGTTGAGTCCCCATCCCTGGATGTGTTTAAGAATAGGGTGGATGATCTACTTAGCGATATGGTTTAATGGGGATTAGGGACAGTTGGACTCGATGATCTCTAAGGTCTTTTCCAACCTAGAAATCTATGAATCTATGAATCATCTGGCTGGAAAAGGGGCTTGCAGGTATTTTGCCAGGATTCTTATGCACAGATGGACTACTGAACACATCTGGTAGGCTGTGGGAGTGTAACATGATGTAAGCATGCTCATGTTGCTGTACAGCGTGTATGTTTGGTTTTCTGTTTGGAAACTCCTGGACAGAAATGTGGGAAACCTTAAACAACAGGGCTAGCAAGTGTGTTCACAGCCAAGGCAAGAGCTTTGGTAACAGAAGAGCAAAATGATTTGAAAACTGAAAAAAATGAGCTCATTTCAAGTTAACTTGAGACAAACCTGACACCTGAATCACAATGTCCTTGCTGTGCTTCAGCAGCCATGCCGGCAGCCAGCCGTGCTGTGGCAGCAGTGCTTGCCTGCAGCGAGGCTCCACTAGCCCAGCCAAGCAAGGGCAGCAGAAGGCAGGCCCTGCTAATCACCTGCCACTGGAAGGTTAGGAAGTGGGACAGGAAGGCAGCTGAAGTGGAATTTTAATTGCCTTCCTTTTATCACAAACAGGGTTTACTTCAGGCATCCTGCTGCTTCTCTAATAGGGCACGCTTTGGCCTCGGATAGCAACCCACATGCATGGGGCTTGTAGACTCAGGGCTTTGCTCGAAGGCCATTTGAGGGCTCTTCTTCCAGCCAAACTGACTGCCCTGAGTTATGCTGGTGCTGCCCCAGCCAGCTCCCTGCCCCTGGGGCTGGAAATGGCAATCCCCACAGCAGCAGAACAGGCTGTGTAGCCATGTAGCCGTTCCTTGGCTACTGTTCACAATCGAACCTACCGAACTAACCCACTGGTGAAGCAAAGCTTGCGCTAAAAGGCTGGGCTGTGAGCTAGTGCTTAGCCTGAGTCACAGTGTGTCAGGATATACTTATCCTAATGGGACGTGACGCAACGGTGGTAAATGCCTTTCACCACTTCAGTCGTTTACTCGGCGAAGGCGATCAGAGCCGTAAGCCACTGCACGCTAGTGAAGGTCCCTGCACTACATCCCCTGCTCTCAGCAGAGAGACCCGCTCCTTCAGCTACAGCTGACATCTGGTGCAGCTATACAGATGCTAATGAGAAATCCCAGACCTTTGCTTCACTTGGAAGTGTCAGGAGAGCTGGACAGTTTGCAGTTCTTCAGCTATTTGAGGGAGGGAGGGCTATATAAGATGAGGAAGAAAAGCAAGGTCCAGTACAGTCCTGCCCAAAGGCTCTTTAAGAATCTGAGCTGAAACAGGATAAGAGGGAAAGTCTTGTGAATTAAAAAAAACAAAGGTTAAACAAACAGAAAACAGAGATAGCAGTAAACAGTGAATTTTTCACAGGGTCGAGAGGTCAGAGATGGATGCTAACTGGCTACATGCTTACGAGAGGCACATGGAGAAGATGAGTAAGGAGCAACCTCCCAACCAAAGGGGTCTCTGAGCACATTAGTTAATTGTGGAATTTCTTGCAGCTGGTGATATGGTACCACAAAAAGTTTACACGGATTCAAAACAGGAGTGGAAAAATTGATGGAAGAATAAACCAAGCAAGGGCTATTAAACAGAACGACCATCACATCTGATTCAAGAAACCTCTTGGCCACCAGCTGCTGGCAACAAGGAAAATACTTCAGGGAAATAGCAATGCATGCTTGTCCTCCTCTTTACTCTTCCTTCCTAGTCATCTGCTGTCAGAGACTGGATGCTGGTTTAGGTGGACCTATGTTATGACTCACTTGGCACCTTCTCGTGTGTTTTGACCATTTACGTATGTGACACTGGTATGGGAAAATCAGGCCATGAATCAAAGATTGGAAGCTCCTAGCCTAAGTAACTATCAAAGCTGCTTTGAAACCTCATCCTAACCCTACTTCGATGTCAAAACAGGAAGAACAAAAATAAAATATTTTTTTAAAAAAGCCAAAGTGAAAGTAGTTGGATGTTTCCAGCATGACAGGGCCTGACGCAGTTTACCCTAGAAGACTTCCTTGGGAAAGTGGAGCAGTCTTTCAGAATTTGACTGGAATGGGGCTGGGGAGAGAGAGGAAGGCAGAGAGAGCGGTGAGGGCCGCGGGAATTACATCAGGCTGTAACATCAATTCATGAAGAAATACTGAAAAATGAAGTCAGTAATCTGTAAATACCCAGCTAATCAGGTAAAAAGTAACGACCAGCACACCTATAGCACAGCTACATCAAGCACAACTTATATCGAGTCAACCTAATGACTTTCTTTGGCAGAGTGTCTGGGCTTTATTAAAACTTTAGGCAATGCTTTATACGATATTTTTAGTAGTGAATAAGGGAAGGCCTAACAGAGCTGTAATGAATCCAGTATGCTTCAGAATAGAAGATAATATAATTGATTTAAAAGTCCAAAATCATATACATCACCACCATTGCTGTAAAACCCTAAGAAAAAAAGTTTAGGATTGAAAATTATCTTGACCAAGTGGAAAAGTGATCCAGGAGAAAAAAAAAAGTGTATTTGACCTCACTGAATTGCAAAGTTTACACCAAGGCAGAAACCACCAGTGACGTGTACAAGAGGGGAAGCAACAGGCTTGGCAGCACATCTGTAAAAGACATTTAAGTTGGGCAGGTTATGGTGAATTTTCAAATGACCATAAATTTAAGACATTGTGAAAGAGAACAAAGGCTGCCTGGAGAGGCTGGAGTTTGTATGTCTTGTGGCGAAATCTTTCTGTAGAGCATTAAGAAAGCTCCAGATAAGACCCCTGTGGCTTCAGTTTTGGGCTCCAAGCTTCACAAAAGATATAAATTGGAGCAACTCCAGTGGTGGGCACCAAGACTAACTGGAGGTCTACAAGTGCAGCTTTAAGGAAAGCCTGAAAGAACTGCGTTTCTTTAGCCTAGAGAAGATGGCGAAGAAGGTGGGAAATCAAGAGTGCAATGATACAATTCTGAAATACATGAAAGGTAGGAATAAATAAGGTAGTAATATGCTCTCTGTGACCCCTACAGATAAGATGCAGTGGGCTTAAATTAAAGTAGGAAGGATTTAGATTGGCTGCTAGGAAAATATTTCTCCCTGCAAGAACAGTAAAGCTGAGGGTTACTGTGGCATCTCCATCACTGGAGAGCTCGAAGCCCAGGAAAGAGCAGGACCTGTCAGTGAGGAATGATTTGCCCATGTCCCCATGGTGGGGCTACGGAGTTTCTCAAGATTCCATCTAAATCCATTTTCTGTGGCATATCCCTGCATGCGAAGGGACACATGGGGCAGAGCTACCCCAGTGCGATTTCAGCATCCCTCTGCATGGCATTAGTGAAAGCGGAGCAGAAGACCTGCTCTGCTGAGTGCTGGGGATCCACTGTGGTGATTCTCCACACTCGGGGTGAAGGCAAAGCCCAGGTCTTACCACAAGCTCCTGCCAAAAACTTCAGCTAGTGTGATTTTTTTTGTGTGCTTTTTTTTAACTCTTGTAGAGAAAAGTTGGCAGCTGCGTGCCATGCTGTGCCACCAGCACACCCAGCCCAGTGGACTGATGTGGCCGCATGCTGGGGTGGGTCTCTTTACAGACCAGGAATGGAGGTGCCTGAAAGGTGGGTTTTTTTTTTTTTCCTTTCCAGAGCTTCAATTTTAACTCAAGGTCCACAGACCATCACAGCTACACTTCACTCTTTCTAGGCTAAGTCCAGGCCTTGCAGTTCAGGTCTGCTCCACTGACTTTGGCCAAACTCTACTGGCATTATCATCCTGTCTTTTCCTCCAAAAGTGGCTCCTTCTGGGCCCAGCGGGGCTTTTTGTATGCTTTCCAAGAAGCAGATTCTTGGGGCAGGAGCCTTGAAAAAAAAGCAGACAGCTAATGGGATCTTTTTTGCTGTAAAAATATTTCTATGAAATCTCATTTTTATCCCTGAGACATGGGCTGTACTTACCCTGCCTGGCCCCAGGACAGCTGACCACGCACCTGTGCCTTCAAGGTGTTATTCACAGTCAAAAGGTCTTCACATAACTTGCTCCTGACTCTCCTGGCGCCAAGATGGGAGGTCAGCAGGGACAAGCACATGCTGACTGTTGTGCCTGGCAAAATCTGGGCATGGCTTCTTCTGCGTACAAACTAACTCAGCGGCAAGTTGGATCCCAGAGAACTGGTGCAGCTGAGCCACATGAAGCTCCAGTCCAGGCTGTCAAACTAAGACAACTCAACTGGTCAAGAAGTCTTGTATTCAAAGCAGTGGGCAAAAGCACAGCTTGAGACTGCTGCCGACTCACTCAGTGATTTCAGGTGACATCTCTGGGTCTTGAGCACCTGCAGAATTAGGGCAGCAATTCTTCCTGCTCCTATCCTCTGGCTCTGGGATTATTTATAGTCCAGGAGTTTTGGAGCAGGGCTCAGCATCCAGCACAGCAAGGACCTTGTTGCAGAGGATAAAGGCATGTTAGGTATGTTATGTACATAGTAGTAACTGCTGGCTGCTCCTACAGGGCAAGAGTGATTTTCTCTGTGCTGCTTTTCCTGCAGAGCATAGATCAGCCTGCTCCCCCTGGCTTGGGCTCCAAGCAACAATGTTTTTGACGTTGCAGAAGACCAGCGGGGAAACTCAGAGCACCCTTCCCCAAGAGGAGCCATCTGCTCTCCCCAGGCAGGGGCCAGCAATGGCGCCAGGCAGCTGCAGAGCAGAGCCCTGTGTTGGAGTAGCAGATAACCCTTGACAGATGTGCAGCCAGCACAAAGCAAAAGGAGCAAGAGAGAAGGAGGGAAAACAGCTGGAAATAGCAAAAGCTTGGAAGCGGTCATGATTTATAGAGCAAATTAGCAGCAACAAAAAGTCATGATCCCTGGAAAGCTTTGCAAATCCCCCTGCTGTGATTAGCTGTTGGCTCTGGAGGTGGTTTGTCAAACCAGTTTTCCAGCTGGGATGATGCTGGTTGGTTTTTTTTCACCCACTCCCATGCTCAACACCTGTTTAATGCAGTATGCTGGTGTAAGGTCAGCCAGCACCCAGCTCAGGCCAGGCTGAGCATGGAACAAAACCTGAGGGTAGGGCTGAGGCACAGGCAATGCATTTGCTTCTAAGTGCTAACCCTAATGGTCTCACAGGAGGCTTCCTTCTCCGTGAGCAGAACTTCATGGCTATGGCAGTGGGCTCTGGAGAGTCTCCGTTAGCTGCAATTCTTGCAACCAGACACCATCAAATGCAAATGCTAAGGGAAAAAAGCAAACCACCAGGGTCCTTGCAGTACAGCTGAGGCTGGGGACCCAAGACAAGTAGTGTTCAAAGCAGCGTCATCCCTCTCAACCGAAAGAAAGAGCAACAGAGGCTTCAGTCCCAACTGAATGACACCAGCAACACATACATAAAGTGCTTTATTGCAGCATCAGAATAAAAAAACCTGTTCTCTATGAAATTTTGTAGGAATAAAAGACATTTTTTATATATTATATATACAAAACACAATAAACTTAAGGAGTGGAAGCTTAGAGATTCATCACTTAAATAGCAGTGGGCTGGACAGAATCTTTGATGAGATATAAAAATAAACACTTGTTTAATGTCTACTCTTCTCATGGTGCCCCACAAAGCTCCCAGTGTGTAAGGTGCTTGTGAGAGGAACAACACGAACAACACTGCTTCTTGTTTCTCATGCTCCAGTTCACGCCTGTTCCAAACCATAGAGGTAGCAAGGCAGAACAGCCGCTTGGCTTTCAATCAGCTCTTCGGGCGGGGAGGGAGGTGAATTAATGCAATAAATTTTTTTTACTTGCCCTTGGATGGGATCTCCATTTATTGCAGAAATCATAGGTTCTTTTTGGGTGGTTAGACTGATTGACACACCCAGTATAAAGAGGAGGAGGGCACAAATCCTGGGTAACAGTCCTTATTATAAGAGCACTTCTTCAGAGAGGCAGCCAGTCTAACAAATTGACAGAGGTATTGAAAATCTCCTTCAAGAAAGGCTGTTTGCAGAGGTCCTGCTTCCATACGTGACTCCAATACTGGAAACTAGGCACATTTAACGGGAGGTTGTTTTAAAGAAGTCTGTGCATTGATGGTACAGAAGTTCCTCTCAGAGGCTGCTGATGTTAATGATGACATATGATATGGGAGAGGAAATATGAAGATGCTCTGCTGAATGACAGAAGATTAACAAGCTCATCCTTCCATGGCCTTGGCAGCTCAATTTGTCTGCTTCCCGTACAGATGCCTCCATGTCTCTTGCTGAACCTCCCTACACATGTCCCAGGCTCCCAGAACTAAGCCACCAGGTCACTGCCACCTGCTCTTGTCTACCTCTTTATGACCTACCTCTTTACCAGAAACTAGTGAGCAAACGACCATTTGAGCTACGGAACATGTAATGGGCATGAAAATGTATCAGGGTCTGGGTCTCCATCCATGCTTATTTGATTGTGTCTTCTTTCACCCTTTACATAACATTGGTCATCTCAGACTGCATACCTATTGGGAAACGGACGGTGTCTGCCTACGTTTTGATAGCACCAATAATTGGAGTCTGGGGATATGAGCATGGAATATTAGTTAAATAAGAATAATTCAGTGGTAACTTAATTAATACTTTTGTTTTACCAGCAATGAAGTCTTAGGTACTGATGACCAAGGATGCAATATTCTATCAGTAACCAAGGCAAAAGGATCAAGATACATAAGACACTCCCAGAAAGACTCCCCAAAGAGCTATCAGACCATGGATATTCAATGGCTCTGGCGAAAGCTCCTGCAAGAAGGACAGACCTAGCACAGGACAGTCAAAGAAGGACCTCTGCACCCAGACAGATGATTTTTTTGTCCAACAGTGTCCTGCAGAAAAACATGGATCAGCCAACAGCCCTGGTGAAACCTCTAGTCTAGAAATTACTCCATTCTTCTTTACGTGTGCTTGACTTCTCTTTTATTTCCTCTGATCCATAAAATTTGCTAAATAAAAGCTAAGAACAGTTTCTGCCAGGTTCAGTGACTGAATATCCAGGGATAAATGTGCTCAGCCTAGTTTCTCTATGGGAAACTTAGGAGCTCCCAAAATATGCTGGGAGAAACTGCCACAGACCTGTGAAAAGCTGAATAAAACTCAGGCGAGACCAAAGCGCCAACGAAGAGCATCAGGATCTGCAGACACCAGGTGTGTATCTGCCTCCTTTGGAGCCACACTTGCTCACCTGGCCAGGCAGCGAGCCTGAGGAGCGCGCGCTGTGCCCACAACTTGCTTTCTCTGGGCTGCCTCTCGCTGGCAACCTGGGCAGACACGGCACGGAGCAAGGCCCGAGGCCAGCAGAACACCAGAGAGGGGCAACGCTGGGTGCTCCCGGCAGTGCCCGACTTCATCCCATCCCCACAGAGAACTTGGCTCAGTTCTTTTTGCTCCTCTCCAGCAATGGCATGAGTGGTGGTTGAGTTGCCTCCTGCAACTCCGGCAGGGCTGCGGGTGGGAAATACAGGACTTTCTGCTGGGCCGTGTCACAGCTGCTCCTGAGCACCAAAACCCACTGTGGAGCTGCCAGGGAGCCCAGACGTGGAGGCAGGCTGGTGGTGGGACTTGCATGGGTGCTGCTACCTTGCTCCCCCAAGCACGGAGGCAGAGGGGCTGAAATGCATTCAGGCAGTGACCCCGCTGTGCTGACCTCCTCTGAGATCCACCCACATCTGGCTTTCACACCCGGTGTTCCCTTTCACAGCCAAAACTGTGGTG